ACTAGCTGTTTTTGCTTGAATTTTGATAATATTAACTTTAAAAGCTCCTAAAAATTCCTTAGAAATTGGGATTCTGAAAATATTATTATTGCTAATCTTCAATTAAAATAAAAAAAATAACATTCTCTCAAAGCTACGTTAAATACATACCTATATCATCGTCAACATTTTCATTTTGCCTATTGAATTACATCATCCAATGAAAACGTCTACGCCAGATAGCTTTTAATTAGATCCGTTCAAAACCAATTTTACCATTCAAATTTTGTATTTATATTTTTTCCTATTATAAGTATTCTGACACTTACACTTCATTTTTATGCCTTTTTGTTATAATACCGAAATACCTTGCTAGTTTAATTTTGAATTTTAAATTAAAAAATAGCAAATCTTATAGCATGATAATAATCTTAATTTATTTAATTCTTCTGTATAATACGTGTGTTTGTCCACACTAACATTACAATATCCTAAACTTTTACCGTCTGTCTATCTCTTTGTTACTTTTACACGCAAAAACTGTGGAACAGATTTCGATCAAATAGCAAAGGCATAGATTGCATTAAAAGAACGGACATACACATTTTTTTTAATCTGTGCTTAATTTACTATGAAGTGAACCAAAACTAGTCTATACTAACATTATAAAGAGGAATTTTGTTTGTTTGTTGTTTGTATCGAATAAGCTCCGAAACTACTAAATCCATTAAGATGACATTTGGTAAGAAGATAGCTTGAGATCCTGCGAAGAACATAGGATAGTTTATATCCCAGAAATCATCCCTTAAGGGGGATTGACAATGGGGATGAAAGTTTGTATGGTGAATCAACCTCGCTAATCCATACTTATATTATAAATGTGAAAGTGTGTTTGTTTGTTTGTTCCTCCTTCTTTCACGTCAAAACAGAGTGACGGATTGGCGTGTTTTTTTGTGTGGAGATAGTTGGAGGGCTGAAGAGTGACATAGGCTACTATATACCGCGGGAGATTATCTCATTCCCATGGGAAAATACAAAAAATATTTATGATCAGAATTACTTGAAACTTGGTATCTATGCTCTTCAATACAATTAAATGAATACGTGTTTTAGCATTTTTCAAAATTCATCACATAAGGGGGTAAAGTAGGGGATGAAAGTTTGTATGAAACCTACCTATAACCTAACTTACCTTTAAACTAATAAATAAAATAATACGTATATCAGATTTTAAGCGCGAGTGAAGCCGCGGGTTCTGCTAGTTTATTATTAATAGAAGATTGAAGTACTAAAAACATTTTTATAAATTACAAAAAAGTCAGAAAGAATTTTTAGCGATGAGACAGTAACTTAATCACAGATCCAAGGCCATGTCACTCCAGCATCTTTAACAAGAATTGTAATTCTTGTAGCTGTACCAGGGCAATTTTTCCTTCAAAAGGTGCCTATTATTTTTTTCATTACTGTTTAAAAGGCTATCTTGACACCTTGTAATTTGTTTGTTTCTTGACTGATTGAAAAAAAAGGTAGTACACAATTGGGTAATACACAGTTAATTAAACTTAATTATTTATGTATACATAATTATTATTTATTGTCAATATAATATTGTACTACAATTAATGCGAAAATTTGAACAAAGTGTTACCGTTAAAATGTATGTACTGTACTGTAATGTATGTACCGTGGATTTTATTGATTTAAAGCTAAGGACACTCCGCCAAGTCAACTTTTAAAGAAAAATAATAAATTTAAATCGACTCATCCGTTTGGGCGCTACGATGCCACAGACAGATACATAGATACACATGTAAAACTTATAACACCCCTCTTATTGCTCGGCAGTTAAAAATGAAATATTACATCCTAATAAAATTAAACTGGCGAAGTTAGGAAGTATTGACATAGAAAGCGCCATTGATATAGGTATATTGCAAAGCCTGCGTCCTTCCCCTAGTAATCCCTTCGGATTTCTGTTCTTTGTAATTTCCCGGTACGCGTGTAATCTGGTTTTTATTAACGATAACATAGATATAGATTCCTTTTCTCTTATCATTCTTTCTCACTTAGTTCGTCGTTATACCCTAACAGAATAATAATAAAATATTACATATTGGTCGATTAAAATATATAATATACTAGCGATTCACCCTCGCTTCGCTTGAGTTCATGCCTAGACACATTTTAACGGTTAGTATGGAATAGATAGACTTTATATTATACTAGCATTGACCGCGGCCCCGCCCGCGTCCAGATGACCAAAAACCAAATTCTTGGGTTTTACATATTTGTATACACTTACAATGCAGTTTTTGTATATTTTCTCAGAAATGAGATATTTTCCCGCGGTAAAAAGTAGCCTATATTTTGACCCGAATAACGAGCTATCATCACACCAAATTTCATCAAAATCTGTCCAGTGGTTTTCTCGTGATGCGGTAACAGACAGACAGACAAAAATTCTAAAAACTATAGATTCGGCCTCTGTATCGATAATGATGTCTATTTCAATAAGATTTTCTAAAAAATATTTAATGTAGAGATTCTGCTTAGTTAGAATTTTATTATATGTATATATTTTGGTTATAATAAGTACATACAATATACATACATACATCCTATCATAAAGTACAATATTTTATATTTCATATATTATTTTCCATTAATATCAAGTAATTGAAAGACTTTAAAAAAGGACCAGCTAATGTAACAAGTAAAAATGTTCGAGCGATGCAATAACATAAATTTTAATAGCCATCCAAGATACGTGAAATTTCTATCGCTTACAACTTCTCGCCCTGCAATGTTCTACCATAATATCTTATTTATGATTTCGTGACTTCCTTTATACACAAACCTATTTTAAAGTTGGAAAATGCATTTTCATATACCACCTGGATACTTGCAAGTGGTAATGTGGTTAGAAAAACCAGTACTTTCCCCGTGTTAATAGGGCATCGCAGGATCACTACGCACTCAATCACAACGCCACGACGATGGCACAGGTGATACACTCCCCACTCCCCGGGTTCATTTTGCTATCAGAAGAGAACCAGGAACAACCGGAAGGTGGACAGTCACCCAGTACGTTTCTTGGTTTCACCCTAATGAGCCCTGAACCTACACCTTATGAACATGTGAACACTTATCGGGGAGATTAGGCTATAACCTACCACAGCTACTGTATAAAAGAAAGATGCTTAAAAAAAATGGAGCGTTTACTTAATAATATAATGGTTTGAAATTGTGAAATATAGCAAACTCTATCATTATCTTAAAGTGATATTAATAACTTATATAATAAATAAATACATGTAATAAAAGTTTAACTCAGTCGAATCTGTACATTAAATGTTTTTTTAGAAAATCTTATTTTATTTATCCTTTTACTGCGGGAAAATATCTATCTCTGAAAAATCTAGACTAACCGTTAAAATATGCCTATATAACATATAATAATAGTAATAAATTTAATTATACATATTATATATATATATATATATATAATATGTATAAGTATGGTAAGCCATAGACAGACAGCAAAAAATAAAACGTCCATTTTAAAAAAAGAGAGCGACACAAGCGTAGTAAAAATTAAAGAAAAAACTATTTTCCCTAAAAGTTATTTTGTTTTTAGCAAACAGTACCAAATGGTGAAAGCTTAAATAATGTAAGTATTATCTTGTAATAGGCGTTATTGTAAATAGCAGGTGTGCTTAACATATACAGGCTGGTTATAAAAAACAAAAAACCTTGTAATTACGATAACATGCACGAATGTATTTAAAGTAATATATGTGTAGTGTATCAACTATCTGGTATCCATAACACACGCCTACATATACACATACCATGGAACTATGTCGATGGCGCTGTGTGTTAATCCTAATATATTTATTTATTAAACTTACTTTTTTACTTTTATTTATTAAAAAACACTAATAGAGATCTATCAGTTCCCATGGGAACCGTTAATTTTTCCGGGATGAAAAGTAACCTATTGTTTGACCGGCAATATATTGTATCAGAATGTTAAATTTTACTAAATTAGGTGCATAAATTGTTGTGTACTAAGCTGTATAAGATATTATAGTTTTTAACTATCCCACGGGAATTCTTTAATTTTCTGGAATGAAAAGTTTCTAAGATGTTGCCCGAGGATATCACCATGCAAAATTTCATTTAAATCGGTTCAATAGATTCGAAGATTAGCCCGTACAAACAGACAGAGAAACAAAAAAATTGAAAAAATCTGGATTTGATCTATTTGTATTCTTACATCCTCCTAACTCGGTTTTAAGCATTTTTTGCTATGTACAGACAGACATTCAACCTCTACGGTTTTATTATATTTATTATTATATTTATAGACTAGTATTGCCCGAGACTGCGCCCGCGTTCAGATGATCATAAACCAAACTCTAAAGTTTTACATATTAGTATACTATTACATTGCAGTTTTTGTATTTTTTCTCAGAAATGAGGTATTTTCCCGCAGTAAAAAGTATCTTATATCTTAACCCGGATAACCAGCTATCACCATATCAAATTTCATCAAAATCCCTCTAGTGGTTATTTTGTGATACGGTAACAGATAGACAGACAGACAGAAATTCTAAAAACTGTAGATTCGGCCTCTATGTCGATAATAATGTTTATTTCAATAAGATTTTCCAAAAAATATTTAATGTACAGATTCGGCTTATTATATGTATAGACTACTTGTACTTTTGTTTTGTTTTTAGGAATCTTGCTTTATATTTGTAACACTTACCTTCACCAATGTATAATAAGATTTAGTAAAACTATTATATAAAGTTAAAATATATTATACGTATACGTATTTCAATAAATATTGTTAAGATAACAACTTGAATCGAAATATTAAAAAATAACGAATTTCTACACTAATTTCATTCCCAATTTAACTTAAGAACAAAATTTTTTTTAAATTTATTGTAAATTAAAAAAAAAACTTACAGCTCTTCTTCATATATAAAAAACTGTTATGCAAAATGTCATGCTACTAAAACCTGTGACGAACGCCTAGCTATTATAAGTTTTTGTTGTGGTGTCCAGTTAAATATCTCAGCATTATCTTCGATATCCTGAGCCCATTTTGTTGATGAGTAGGATTTGTCCTCTCCATTGAACTGAGCTACGGCTCCCTCGAAGTTATAAAACATGGCGGCCGCCGCCGCATGCGAACTCGCCACGATGTCTTTTTTACTGCCGTCTTCCATCGTCTTCGTCTTTAATTAATCTCTTTTTTTTTTTTTCTTGCCAAACTTAAACGTCTTCTCCGTCGTTCGGACTCTGCGTCCGCGTCGTAATAATGAGATCGAACTAAGCATGGAAATGATTGCTACTTTTAAATCATTATCACGTGATGAAATTACAACAATTTTTCACGTGATTTCACCTGCTACTTTTCACGCATAGATTTTTGATTTCGACGGTCTGGTGTCACACTTTATATTATTTGCTATTAAAATGAAGTATGAAATGTCACCAATGGCGCTACTGATGTGATATGGAGCAGAGATATAGATCTGACGTAGTTGCATACGTACATGGTGCTTTGAATGAACCTATTTTCAAACAATGAACTTTCCCTCATACTTCTACAGGCTTGGGACTGACAATGTAAAATTAAATGAATTTTAAATATATCAGAGTAATCACACGGTAAAATTGTATTAAGCTAAGTTCCATAATTACATTGGCGTATTTAAAAGTTCATTGTTTTTATGTACAATAAGAATTTTTATAAAAGAATTTTATACACTTTTTTTTTGTTTTTCTTAATTTTTTTAATTTGTTTATAATCATTTTTTTTGCTTTTTGATTTTTTTGATGATTGATTTTTTTATGAGATATCTATATACAATAGTCTTCATTGCTTTTTAAAAATACAAGTTCCGCTGTTCGTTTTCTGCTTAATCGTGCTCTTTTTTGGGTTGCAAAATTTCCCGCTTTTGAAAATACTCTCTCACACTCCACTGATGTCACCAAGATGTGACAGTGCTCATGAAATATTTCCGCCAAATTGGGGTACATATAGGAGTGAGATTTCCACCAAACTAATGACGAAGAATCGCGCGGAAGCACTGGTTCATTAATAAACATTTCTAGCTCGTTCTCAGCGTTGGTGGTTATGTCTGTACGTATTACACATAATCATTCAGTAAAAATTATAAGTATTTGTTGGATAAAAAACTAAAAATGTGCTCTAAATTTAATTGTTGTTTCTAATTTAAAATTATTTCTAAACAATATTTCTAAGAATCCGAAATCATGCAACTCGAAATAAATAAACTCCCCAATTTACTGATCAACGGTATTAACTGAAAATTGTATTTTGTTGAATAAAAAATCAATAAAAACATCAGTACGAAAATGTATACGGAAAATGCGAGTAACGAAATGCATTCGTGAGTAACGTTTAGGTACTCGGTACTAGATGGCGTACCCGTTACTCAGTAACGAATACATACGGTTTGCTACAGCTCTAGATTTCACCAAGTTGTGATTTGTAGCAGCCACTATGAATTTAAGTAGCAGGTGTGACGCGTGATTACGCATTTCACGTGATTTTTCACTTGCTACTCGTGAAATGTCCCATCCCTAGATCGAACCGCTTAGCACGTGCACCGCACCGCCTCGTGGACGCCCGCGCCGATCGCTTCGTTTTTTCGTCTTCTTTTCCGTCGTACACTTTTACCTTGAGTAATCCCGGACGAGCCTCCAAATTTGTGGGAAAATACTCGGCGGCCGTTTAGAATTGGGGACTTGGCCCCTAGCGGAGTGGGTGGTATTTCTGGATAAGGGACGTGATAGGGAGTCGAAATGTTAAATAAAAATTGTCCGCGAACGTATGAGTAAAAAGTTATTGAGACTTAAAGTTACAACATTTCCATACATTATTTTGACATTACTACCATTTAGACACTTGGAGTCAAAACGTCACTTTCAATTGTCAAAATGATCTCCAGATGATTGTCTTTATTTGTACTTTGCGTGAAATTCGAATTTTCTAGTTTTCTAGTCATTTATGACACTCGCCGGCCGCTACCGCGGCACGCTCGCTTCGCTCGCTCGGCTCGTGCGTTGTGGCAACTGTTCTAACCTAACCTAACCAAGATATGAGGAATAATAAATAAATAATCTTAAATGTTCTAACCTAACCTAACCCAGATATGAGGAATAATAAATAAATAAATAATCTTAAATGTTCTAACCTAACCTAACCCAGATATGAGGAATAATAAATAAATTATCTTAAATGTTCTAACCTAACCTAACCCAGATATGACGAATAATAAATAAATAATTAAAAATATTCACAGATAAAAAAATGATTTTTTTTACTAAATGTACAATTGTAAAACAATATATTTTACATAAATCAAATAAAAAGTCATAAATGTATTTATAAAGTGAAAATAATATTTTTCTTTTTATTTATTTATTTATTAATATTAATATTTTACCAACAGAAAAAGCAAAAATAATCAAATATAATCTGTTGTCATTTAAGCGGTAATATAAAACAAAGTGTCAGTTTTGCTTTTGTCAAAATGTAAGATCATTTTGTTTGTGTTGTGAAATTATTAAAATATTAAATACAATAAAGCATTAATTGTTGTGAAAATGTGTAATGTACATAAAAAAGGATGCGTACTATTCGTTAAAGGTATGTTTATCTGTTGTAATCACTTATTTAGGTAAAGAAATGTATGGAAATGTGTTAGATATGTTATAACTTTAAGTCTCAATAACTTTTTACTCGTACGTTTCCTCCAAATATTTTTAATATATTTTGACTCTCTGTCACCTCCCCTATCTAAAAATACCACCCACTCCGAATGGTGGTAAAGAAATATATGAAAATGTATGGAAATGTTGTAACTTTAAGTCTCAATAACTTTTTACTCATACGTTCGCGGACAATTTTTATTTAACATTTCGACTCCCTATCACGTCCCTTATCCAGAAATACCACCCACTCCGCTAGGGGCCAAGTCCCCAATTCTGAATTTGTGCCAAATACTCAAAGTAAAAGACAGTGAAATTTGCTTCTTAAATAGTTTATTAATTTTTCCGTCTTAGCTCGTTCACACCGTCTTACACACTATCCTCCATCTTGCATCTTTCGTTCCTTTCTCTCCCATACCTGTTGTTCCTTTCACTCACTCTTACGTTCCGTTCCCCACATATAAGAGCGTTTTCTGCCATTGAGTCAGTTGGGAATAACTATACATTTAATATTCAGTAGTACAAAAGTCTTTAACTGATGATAAGAGTGTAAAAGTCCATTGGCTAACACGTACTTTTGCAGATCGTTAGACCCTGGATTCGAATCTTGGGTGGGGTAAAAATAATTACTAGGTTCTTCTATCACGAAATATGCAATAGTAGCCCAGAGTAGGAAAAAACATCTTTGAATCATTAGATTGTTGAATCATCAGATGAGTTACCATAAGAAAAATAGAAAAAGTTACCAAAGAATATGCGAGGTTATAGTATGGGTTTGAGTCTTAAGTCGTTAGTTGACAACACTATCTATAGTTTCATATTCGTAATATTATGTATAATAAGTTTTTGTATTATAAGTTTGCACATTTAGAGATCACCGCCATTGACAGGTAACATCTATCAAACATTTAACGTGCTCGAGGATGGTTTTAAAATTATTTAAACTTCAAAGAAGAACTTTGTAACTTCATCTTTGTTAGGCGGAGAAGTTAATCTTATGCTTAATTAGTTTCGCCCGTTTAACTTTTGAATTAAATTCTTATAGAACTTTCATGAAATTGGTAAAGTACACTTCCTAATTTTAAGTATATTTTCAGTAAAAGCTCAGACGATATTCATCGCAGTGTTCATTACGGCACATATTATAATATACTAGCAGAACCCACGGCTTCGCTCGCGCTAAAATTACAAAAAATCTCTAAAAATGTAGTTTCATACAAACTTTCATCCTCTATTTTACCCCCTTTATAGGATGAATTTCGAAAAATGCTAAAACACGTATTTATTTAACTTTATTGAAAAGCATTAATACCAAGTTTCAAGTAATTCTAATTATAAATATTTTTTTGAATTGTATTATAACGTATTTTCCCGTAGGAATTAGGTAATCTCTCGCGGTAAAAAGTAGCCTATGTCACTCTCCAGCCCTCCACCTATCTCCACACAAAAAATAACGCCAATTCGTTACTCCATTTTGACGTGAAAGAAGGACAAACAAACTTTTGAGATAAAACTTTTGAGAAAGTTAATAAATGAGTTTTTAATCGACTTTAAAAAAGGAGGAGTTGACAGTCATACATTTTCAGTCGCTTTTTTTTAAATGAAAACTTAAAAAAAACCGACTTGGGTATACTATCTGTCTGTTCATGCTCACATGCTAAATGAAAATCAAGCTATGTGCTTCAAAACTAAATAAAACTTTACAAATAAAATACAAATAAAATAAAATATATTTTAGTTATCTATGTACAGTGTTTCCTTTACCAACTGGAAGTAGGAAGTAAGGACCTCATAGTATATTAAAGTCTACCCCTGACGGGATAAGAAGGCCCATGTTAGCAGAATGCTTCAATTTATGTTACATTCATTCCTATTCGTTGGTAATCACAAAGGATTATCGTTACACATGTAATTTGAGTGCTATTACCGAGAAGATTTCACGTGACCTGAATTGTTCATATCTCAACGTATATTATGCCACCATAAAAGCTTACAACAGAATATATGAAGATTTTTAAGTAACAACTAAGATGTAAGAAGTTTTAGTAAAAAAACATAAATGAATCCCGAAGTTCATTTAATTTGGACTTAAGTTTGTTTGTATTAACTCAGTAAAGTTTAAGTTTTAAGTCAAATACGTTAGTTATTTGTTTTACAAATGTATGTATTGTATGTTATTTTACAAATTTTGTAAAAGTATATATTAATAGTGTTGCTTAGTAATTTGTTTTAAATAATAGCAAACTAAATTAAAATTATTATCCTTAATTAATTTTAACTTTTTAAATTACACATAGAACAATTATATGGCTTAAATAATTAATACTATATTTTATATTTTTCTTTATGGTTATAAATATAATAATGGCAACACTAAATATAGATTACTAATTAATATTTTTTAAAATTGTAATAATTATAAAAATAATAGCAAAAATTAAATAAATAATTTTCCATATTCAATTATAATTAAAATTATAAAAAT